GTTGCAAAATACTTTTCCAATTTGCAAAATAAACAAAAATGCGTTTTTAAGTGTAATAACTTATGAGCAACAAAACAAAATATTACACATGGTTAAAAAAAACATTGTGATATTTATTTATTTTTTGTAATGTGGAATGGTTGACAAGCCAGTCATATAAATATAAAAATATAGTACTTCCCTAGTGCTTAAGAACATATATTTATTATGGTTAGCAAAGTACTGGATATTTAGGATCTATTAGCTCACCTACATATTTATTAGCTGTGGAATACTTAAACAAAGCTAATCTCCTTTTCAAAATTGTTAAAGAATGTCCAAACATCACATTTTCCTGAAAAAAAAAATTTTTGAATATACAACCTTCTAAATTGGATTTTTTTTGCAGCTAATTTTAGAAAATATCTTGTAGCAGATGCAGTTTGAATATATTTTGACATTAAAAATAAATAAATTCAAAAGAAGAAAAAAAATTTAAAAGTATCTAGTAACAACAACTATATAGATTTTCTGTTATGCCTTTTCTCCCAGTACCATATTGTCGTTGCTGTCTTGAAAGCAATTACATCTTCCAGGTCCTTTTTCGCTATCATCCAAACAACAAGATATTCCTCTCTGCAAGACACTTCTGCGCTGCCTTACGAGATGCAGAAGATATAAAAATGCCACTCTACCCTAATACAAGTCTGTAAATAAAGGATATAAGGGCGGCCTTCTTTCTTTCTCTTGAAACATTCCTCTCCAAGAATTTCTTGTATCTATAAAAATATTTGCTTTTACGTTTCCTTAAAGTTATTCGTGGTTTTGATTAAATATGCCTTCTTTTGAAAGTTCCCTAGCTGTTTGTTTAAGGGTTGTTTGCGAATTAAGTGTTTAGATGGAGAAATTATTTTGTTCAAACATTTTGATAGTTTGTAGGAAAAAGTAAAATGGTGATTTTCAGCTATACATTTTTATTAAAACTTATTTTAAAGTTGCACATTACAACTTCCTGCGCGTAAGGCAATTTACAATCCAGACAGGACTATTATCAAGCATTTCATCTGTAGAGAAATGTAGTAAAGTGTATAATATATTTTTTCGTTCGATGTAAAACATATTCGCGCATCTGAGCACCGAAAATGGTGGAATCTACACCAAAGAAGAGATGAGATCGAGATCTCTTTCGGAGGTCCGAACCCGATTCGATCCCGAGATTCGTAGAATTACGTAGATCCCGATATGCGTATGATAAAGGCCAAGTTTTGTAATCTCGTCACTTGGCCTTTGATGTATTAACAAGAGAATTGGTAAACTAAATTATTTTCTATCGCTAAGCGAAGAGAAAAGGAGAACAAACTGAAACACCAAGTTACTAAAGCAAAGGCTGGGATAGCCTGGTTGGTAGGGCACTGGGCCCATGTGTAAGAGATCGTGGGTTCGATCCCTGCCGGCCGAAAACTCCCCGTGTAGTAAATGGTGACTGATGCACGTTAAATCTGTCGAGTTGCAAAGTCCTCCATGTTCCCGTAGCAAATCAATACCTCTGGGGGTGCTGATCCAGGAGTTTTCTTGTCTTCTGGATTGGTTCAAAATTACAAGTATACGGAGTTGAACATTAGTAGTCGTAAACCCAAAAATTGGGTCGGCTGCTCACCGACGGTTTTAAAAAAAATTACTAAAGCAAATATTAAAATGGAAAATCAAAAGCTTAAGCTAGAAATAAGACAATAGCCTCTACGAAGTAAAAGCACTGAACAGAGGTAGCAGATCCCTGTAAATTTTCATACCTTATAAATTTTACATTTTTTACACTCTATAACTGAACCAAAATGTTGTTTAAAAGTAGTAAAAAAATTATAAAACTATTATCAGGAATCTGAGCCCGCTCAGACCTTATTTCATTAAACGAGCCCACGTCTGACTCGGAATTTCCCCTTCAGGCTGAGCCCATCTCATCTCTACGCTAAAATGGTTTTTCACTAAGTGTTCCACTACACCAAAACCAAGGACAGTTCTTGTTTTAGTGAAACACCTAGAAGATTCTTTTACACTACGAGGTGAAAAGTTGCCTCCACCATGTTTATTAATCAGTAACACTAAAATGTATAATTACAGTACGATATGATGCATACAATAATCGTAACTTCGTAACTTTTACGATACAATCATAAATTTAAGAAGCTTAGATACAATATTTCTTAAAATAAAATTTTATAATCATTCATATATACAGAACAGGCAGAGTATTAATATAAATTCGAATAAAACTGAAGTAAATTGAAGCTAAATATAAAATTATTTTATACCATTGACAAATTTATGTAAGTCTTATAAGAACATAAATATCTTTATTATACAAATAAAAACATGCATGCATTTTATAAGAGTTCATATGAGTAGTTTGTCAAATCAAACCGAAATGAAGATTGAAGTTAATTGGCAAACAATCGACTACAATTAATATTTTTTATCAATCAATAAAAAAGATTGAAACTCGCTTGGTATTATTCACCAACCAGTACTATATCCAGTACATATACCAGTTTGTCAATCAAATCTGACAAGAAGAGCTCACTTCCATGTAAACAAACCGCCATCTTGTCACTATCTTGAAATTTCACAATTTTTCCCATTTAAACATCTAAAAATGGTCCAAACTTATTTTCATTCTTATAAAACATACCCTAACATTATTTCACACATTAAAATTTAGTTAAATAGTTTACAAATAGTTAACACTATTTATTCGCAAAATTTACAGAGCTTTAAAAAAAACAACCTTTTTCACGAACGACTTGCAAATTGATGTTAGCTTTATCAATTATTGGTGTTATGATTTAACTGCACTCTTTGAAATAAAATAATCATTCATACAATTTTTAGAATTTTCCAACACCAAATTCGAATAAGTATTGCACGGCAATTTTTACAGTGAATATATTGTTCTCTAAATATCCTAAAGATTCTATGTAAACATCGAAAATGGAAATAGTTTGTCATAAATAAATGAATGCATAAAGCGAACTAAAGCGAAAGTTGCTAAAATATGCAACTAGCATATCTCAGTCTAATATGCTACTGAAACTGAAAAAAAAATACTTCCAAATGAATAAATAATCTATGCTAATTAATCTGCAATCTTAATTAAATATCTCAATTCATTTAGTGATAATAACTTTATTGTCGTTAATAATCAAACCTCTGCATTACTTCATTTACAAATACTTCGTCAACAATGAAATCTTGATATTTCTTTTAATTTATACAATTATAAGATAACGATTTACTCCTTTATTGTTCTATCGTGTAATTTTCGGTTAATGAAAAGCTCAGTTTATTTTATATACTTTATTCAATTTTCATTTGGATATCTTAGTCATTATTTTGTTATTTTTTATTTTCATATGTTTGATTAACAGACATTTAATGGCTGTTTTAAGTATTTAAAAGTAAGTTTTTTTAATTAGAGAAGTCAGAATTGGTTAAATAGTTTTATGAATATATATAATGTTTGTGCAATCAAAAATTTAATTTGTTATTTTTATCTAAAATTTTAAAGTTATATTTAAACAAAATTGCGTGTTAAAACTAAAATAATGCATTTAAAAAACTAACGCCATATTTTTTTGTACAATCTTTCTTTCATGCTATTCTGTTACATTAAAAAGTAAGAAATCCCATTGACCCATGGAAAAATTCATGGTAGTCATTTGTGAATGCATTACATGGTTCAGAAGTTATATTATATAAAAAAAAAAAAAAGATCTCTGGAAATGTATCGAAATGTTGCGGTGAATGAAAAGTGTCCATGATATTTTAACATGTTTTATTTTTCTACGTATTGCATCAGTTTTAAATTGTTAATCATATTTATATTTAAAACTGACATTATCTCATTTGCTTTTATGATTAATTTTATAAATCAAATTGAAGCTATGATTTTAAAATTTAAGAACTTTGAAATGAACACGTTTCTACGGTTTCGATATTTTTTTATGCTACCGGGAAAAAGCAATAAATTTGTCGCAAATTTTTTTGTTGCTGTTGCAACATTGGAAAAAAATAGGTGCAATACTTAGTGAGTGATAAAGAAAACGTGCAGGGAAAATAGATCAAGCAAATTATCTTAAAATAGTATAGTTTAACAGAACATATAACTAATATTTTACATCAATATCTATTGATATACTATAAAAAATCGATATTTGAGGGGAAAAAACTGCCATCTGGTGCGCCAGTATAAAACCGTTTATTTCAAAGGAAAATACTGTTATTTAATAACGGACATGTGTTTTTTTAAGCATATAAGTACTGTTAATTTAGTAAACTTTATTTTAACTAACTCTACTGTTTAAAAAACAAAATAAATAGCTAGAATTATGGTGAGAGCAGCAAACAGAGTTCGCTAAACCAGTCAACGCTGGGATTCAAACCTAAGACACCTCAATAAGAGGTGAGTGCGCTTTTCCCTCATCTACCGAAGATCTAGTTTTTATTATGAAGAAAAATTTCCTCTTTCTTTACCTTAAGTCTTATTTCAATCATATTTAAACATTTGAAACTATAAAGATACTCAACACTATAAAATTGTTTAAAGAAACATAACAATTTAATAAACATTTTGATAATAAAGTCAATACGCAATTTTATTTATAGGGTGTTCGAACCATAAATACTTGCAGAAAAGTAAGAGTAAATATAGAAAATAATCGTAAAATGATTTCAAAAAAGGTAAAGTTATCGGTGAGCAAAAACTAGAATTTAAACTGACGGTTTTAATCCATATATGATTAGAGTGATCAATGGAAAAAAATCGTTTTGTCAACAAAATAGCTTTAAACCATCAAATGTACAGAAAAAGACCGTAAAAAAACAATAATTTTTTAATAATTGCGTATAACGGAAACAGAAAAAAAACACTATTTTTCATTACAGACTTTTTTTTCTAAGCGAATTTTTTTTCTGTAGAATTAACAACTATTTTTTACAGTGTAATTTGACAATTTTATTCTATGTAGGCAAATTCTGTGGAGATACCAAAGTCCCGGATGTTTTAATCAGTAGCAAGTACAGAATGTTGGTCACTTACAAGACTTCGTCACATCACAATGCACATAAAGGATTTAAAGCCAGTTACGAAGGTAAGAAATTCCAAACCTATTCATTTATTATTTTTAATTGTTTTCCATTTCATTGTTCATTAAACTGACACTTATTTTAAAATTTGCGTAAGTGTATTTTTAGTACAGTTGTTTTTTTTTATTGTATCTAACTTATTAGAAAACAAAACCTTTTTATAAAAGCAAAGCTAATTTTAAAAAAAAATTCGCACATTTTTTCAATGCCTTTAATCAATTTTTGAGATTCATTTTAAGCACTAATAATCAATCACATTAACGAATTAGTTGATTTAAATAACGTTCAATCGCGCAAATAAACTTTATTATTTTATTATTATTCTCTATGTGATAAATTTCAGTATAATAATATTTAAGAATGCAGGATAATAGTACTAAATTTGGAATATTTATCGTCGTCAGATTTGAAGTAAAATTACTACACCGTTGTGTTAACCACAAATTTAAAGACAAATTAATCAAAACTTAACAAATACCGTAGCAAAAATTATCTGCAACTAAACTTAATTTTTAAACTTTTTCATCCCCCTCACTGATTTGCTAACTAACTCGCGAACTTACTTAATCACTAACATTCTGATTCAATTTTATGACTGCCTTTACCTAGACCAATATAGGTTTATAAACTAACAATAAATAATTAACCGGATTTGGTACCATATTTTCTGTCTTATTTCAGTTTTAGATAATCAAGCATACCAGAAAATGCCTCCTACTGTACAGTACCTATGCAATTAGATTTCTAATAAAATTTTCATATTATAATTTCATATAATTCACTAGCCTTCGTGGAGAATTTTTTGATGTAACTAACCTGCATTTGCGTTACATTGTAAGGAAAACCAATAAAACCTCCCATTGTTAGCCCGATGACAAGGACAGTCTAATCCATGATCCATCTACCATGAAGAATAATTTAAGTCAACACTGCGGCCGGTACCAGCTGGGTGCTGAAGTCGCATCAACTAGCCACCTCTGGTACTTGATCCTGGGTCACCTCATTGAGAGGCAAACGCTCTATCCTCTGAGCCCCAGCGGCTTCTTTGAGGCAGTTAAATATAGATTTTCAATTAGTACAGAAATTACCCCTTTTTTAACTTTCACAAGATTGCTTAAGAGTTTATAATCAATCCTTAATTTGCGTTTGAAAAATTTGACCCATTTCAATTGCAATTATGATTGTTAGAGATAGAAATAATGTATAAAACTCGATAAGTCGCAATGGGATTTCACCGTTTTCTACTTCTATCGTTAAAATTTCTAGTAAAATATCCTATCCCATTTACTTCCATCACACCTAACACTTCCTCGTAAAATAAGCGAAAAACATTCTACGCAACATCACTTTTGATGGAAGTAACGTTTTATACTCTCGGCTATCACAACAGATATCTCACCTGCTCGATGGAGGATGGGGAGTAAGGGATCAAGATAAAAATCTTAGGATTCTGGACGAAAGATCGTTCCGGATGATTTTTATAGAGGATGAGGATCACTTCGAGATGGCGATGGGAGTTCATCCGAAGAACGGATGGTTTTTTTGTTCGTTTTATTGATCGGACCAGAGAATTTGATGGAAAAGAAATTTCTTCATCCACAAAACGGCCTTTTAAGTCTTTTGATATATTTTTTTTCTTCGGAGAATGTATTAGAAAAGTTAAGATTTTATTATAAGTGTTAAACCAGTTACAGGTTTAAAGCTTTTAACCAAGAAAAAAGTTAGGAATATTATTTTTATTTATTTTATACAAGTTTATAAGCGTTATGTATAACGCTTATAAACTTGTTGCAATGTACAAGTTTATAAAGGTTTTTGTTGAATTGTACAAGTTTATAAACGTTATATATAACGTTTATAAACTTGTACATTTCAACAAAAATGTTATTTTAAAAAAACTGTTGCTGGGAGAGAAGGAAACCGATTGCAGATTAGAAATCAGTGACGCGAAACTATCCATGATCGGTTAAAAAATCCGTTAGCAACAACAAAAAAACATAGTTCCCAAATGCAATTTTTATACCACAATAACTTATTCTTAAGGGAACCTATTTTTATACCATAGATCAATATTTCATTGCTGAAGTGTTGATCTGAATAAGATGGTTAAAATTTAAAATAAATTATAAGATTTAATTTGTTTAAACCTGATTACGATTTGGCCTAAATAAGTGTCGTATGTACAAGCGTAAGGGTTTTTTTTGTCGTCCTACCTAAAACTATAAAGATAAGATTAATTATTAACTATAATTTGAATATTATTAAAAACTTTATTTTGTAATTTTTTTTCGGTCTAACACAAACTAACTTTTTTTTTGTTTCGAGATTTTTTTACGGTGAATGAAAACGAGTTAATCCTGAAAATTTCCGTAAATGATTGTTTGTAAATAATTAGTAAATATAGTAAATTTGTAAGATATTTAACCTTATTGGTAGAATCACCTCCGAAACTTTAAAAAAATTACCGTAATTTTCTAGCTATCATAATTTCTATAAAACGTGAACACTTTCCGCTGTAATAGTTAGTTTGTAATAAGATAATTTTGAAACTTGTTTAAAACTGATGAATCCATTTTGAATTCCGCTACCAAATATCTAGATTCTGAATTTTTTTTATAAAATTTTTTAAACTTTATTTCAGCTATTTGTGGCGGTGACGTTATTCAGGAAAAAGGAATTCTACACAGCCCTAACTATCCTGAAGATTACTGGCCTAACAAAGAGTGCACGTGGCGAATAACTGTGCCTGAAAACCACCAGGTGGCGCTGAAGTTCCAATCCTTTGAAGTAAGTTTTATCCTGCTTTCAAACTGGCAACAAGATTAATAGCGTTTAGAAAATAAATTTTGGCTTTATAATATGCATTTTTGCTTTCCCCGGTCTTCCTGAAAATTTTTCTTTCTGAAAATTACTCTTTGAGTCAATTAATTGTTTATTTCTTTTTACTAAGAAACTTCGTCCGAACGAGAAAAAAAAAAGGAGAAATGATATTTATGGAATAAACTATTCACTGATAAGTCTTTAGTTGGAAAGGATATTTTAATGTAAAAAATAATTAAAATATTTTATTTGAAACTTTTTTAAATATTTACTGATTTACAATCACTATTATTTAGATAAATCGGCACTATATTTCACTTCAATAAGTAATTTGAAATTTTATATTTCTTTTTTTTTTTAGTTAAATCACTTTATGCGTGCAGTTGCAATCTTTTTTCTAAATGAGAATATTTAAGTTTCGTTATTGATTTTTTTAGAGCTAATTTTGCTTTATTCTTCAAATAACATCACATTGCTGATTGTTTAAAAAAATTCACTTTCATTTTTATCGTTTTATATTTGGTTGCAATTTGTTTTTTGGCAACTATTCATAGAAATAATTATGAAACTATAAAACATATTTTTCTTTATTTTAACGATTATTTATCAGAATACACTTAATGTCAATAAGTATAAGAATTTTACAATAAAATCCACCCTATAATATATTCACTAATAAAAGTCAAGCATGTTGTGTGTTTTTTTCCTTCAACGTAGCTGAAGTAAATGATAAGATTAAAAAGTATTCCAATTTAAATATTTTGAATTGTATGTTTTTTTTCAAATATTTTCGTTTTTAATTTTCTTTTCGAAAATAATTACAATTACTCCAATAAAAGTCTGGAAAAAAATCCATTTTGAACGTGTGTATTTATTAAACATACATTTCTTTTAAAAAAAATTCTTCGTCTTATTATTTTACAATTTAAAGGAAAACTTTTTTTTTTAAAAAATGAAGATAATTTTAATTATTTTCCCAATAATTATATTTGAAACGTTATTTATTCAGTAAGCTTCAAAAATTGCTTTGCTTTATTAATTATTATTAATCTTTGAAGCTTATTGAATAATGACTTAATAACTTATTGAATAACAATTAAATGTTTCATTTTGCATTTTATAATGTAATTACTGAAAGTGTCATATCTTCTGCATTATGGAATAACGAGGAAAAATAACTCCACGATTAAATCTGTACGGAAAATAGCTCCATGATTGAATTTCTACGGAAATTAGCTCCACGATCTCAACGGAAAAAAATCTCAGTGGAAAAGAGCTTCATGGTTTCTACACGGAAAATAGCTCTATGATAAAGTCTACACGGAAAATAGCTCCAAAGCATTTAACAACAGATTATTATATAATTATAGTTATTGAAATCAGACTGAAACAAAGATTTATAATTTAATTAATTAAGTTATAAGAATGCAATTCAAGCAATTTTTAAAAAAAACAAGAACATTTTTTTTATTTAATAAACATTTCCAAATAGTACTAACATATAGTATATTTATATCTGCATTATAAAATAAATTACTTACTTAATACTAAATAACTTACTAAACTTACTAAAATAAATACTATGTTTTGCCTTAATTATTATTTAACATTCTGGGATTTTTACTTTTAGATTGAGAACCACGACAATTGTGTTTATGACTACTTAGAAATTCGAGATGGGCATGAAAGCACAAGTCCACTGTTGGGCCGATTTTGCGGGTACAAGAACCCAGAAGACATCCGTTCGTCCAGTAACAAGATGACTGTCAAATTTGTGTCTGATAGATCAGTGCAGAAGGCTGGTTTTGCAGCAGATTTCATAAAAGGTTTTTATTAAACTATTTCATCAATATGATTCATCAATAAAACAGAATATATCATGTGAGGAGACGTGTATTGAAAGATGCCAAGTACTTGCGAAAAATACAATAAAATAATTTCTCAGATTATAAAAGTTTTCTNAAGTGTCGTATAATGACAAGCATAAGAGTTTCTTTTTTTTTTCTTTTTTTTTGTCATCCTACCTAAAACTTGAAACTTTTAAGATTAATTATTAACTATAATCTGAATATTATTAAAAACTTTATTTTGGTCTAACACAAACTTTTTTGTTTCAAGATTTTTTCTTACTGTTAATCAAAACAAGTTAATCCTGAAAGTTTCAGTAATTGATTGTTTGTAAATAAATAGTAAATATGGTAAACTTGTAAGATATTTAACCTTATTGGTAGAATTACCTCTGAAACTTTAAAAAAAATTACCGTAATTTTCTAGCTATTATAATTTCTATAAAACGTGAGCACTTTTCGCTGTAATAGTTAATTTGTAATAAGATAATCTTCATGTTTGTTTAGAATTAATGAATCCATTTTTAATTCCACTACCAAATATCTAGATTCAAAATTTTTTTATTAAATTTTTTAAACTTTATTTCAGCTATTTGTGGCGGTGACGTTATTCAGGAAAAAGGAATTCTACACAGCCCTAACTATCCTGAAGATTACTGGCCTAACAAAGAGTGCACGTGGCGAATAACTGTGCCTGAAAACCACCAGGTGGCGCTGAAGTTCCAATCCTTTGAAGTAAGTTTTATCCTGCTTTTAAACTGGCAACAAGATTAATAGCGTTTAGAAAATAAGTTTTGGCTTTATAATATGCATTTTTCCTTTCCTCGGTCTTTCTGAAATTTATTCTTTGAGTCAATTAATTGTTTATTTCTTTTTACTAAGAAACTTCGTCCGAACGAAGAAAAAGAGGAATTATATTTATGGAATAAACTATTCTCTAATAAGTCTTTAGTTAGAAAGGGTATTTTAATGTAAAAAATAATTAAAATATTTTATTTGGATATTTTTAAATATTTTCTGATTTATAGTCATTAATATTTCTCTTTATATATAAGCAGATAAATCGGCACTATATTTTACTTCAATCAGTAATTTTAAATTTTATATTTTTTTTTAGTTAAGTTAAGCCACTTTGTGCCAGCAGTTACAACCTTTTTCTAAATTAGAATTATTAAGTTTTGTCATTGAATTTTTTAGAGCTAATTTTGCTTTACTTTTCCAATAACATGAAATTACTGTTTGTTCAGAAAATGCCCTTTGAGTTTTATTGATTTGTATTTGGTTGCATTTGGTTTATATATTAATAGAATATGTATGTTAACTATTCATTGAAATAATTATGAAACTACAAAAACAAATTTTTCTTTATTTCAGCAATTATTTATCATTATACATTTAATACTAATAATTATAGGAATTTTAAAATAAAATCCACCCTATAATATGTTCACCATTAAAAATCAAACATTTTGTGTTTTTTTCCCTTAACGTAGCTGAAATAAAGAAAAAGATTTTTCGTATTTAAAAATAATATTTTTCGTATTCTTTTAAAAAATAATTACAATTGCTCCAATACAAGTGTGAAAAAAAATCCATTTTGATCACGTGTATTTATTACTCATTTTTTTAAATAAAAATTCTTCGTTTTTTCTTACTATTTTGCAATTTATAGAAAACCTCTTACGTTTTAAAAAAATTAAGGATGATTTTAATTATTTTCCCAATATTTGAAACATTATTTACTCAGCAAGCTACAAAAATTACTTTGCTTTATAAATCTTTGACGCTCATTGAATGAATTAATAATTTATTGAATAACTCGTTATTCAATAAATTATTCCATTACATTGTATCTTTATTCCATTACATTGAAATGAAATGTAATCGTTATTCCATTACATTATGAAATGTTTCATTTAACATTTCATAATGTAATTACTGAAAGTGTCAAATGTTCTGAATTATGGAATAACGAGAAAAAATAACTGCACGATTAAATCTCGGCGGAAAATAGGTCCACGATTAAATCTACATAATAAAATAGCTCTACGGAGGGAGCTTCATGATTAAATGTCTTCGCAAAATAACTCCAAAGTATTTAAGATTAGCTATATTATATAATTATTCATTAGCTACATTATATAATTATAGCTAATGAAATCAGACTGATGCAAAGATTTATAATTTAATAAAGCACTCTTTTAAGTAAGTTATAAGAATTCAATTCAATCAATATTAACAAACAAGAATAAATAAAAAAAATTAAATTTAATAAACATTTCCAAATAGTACTAAAATATTGCATGTTTTTATCTGCTTTATAAAATAAACTATATCTATGTGACTATGTTTTGACTAAATTAATATCCAACTTTCTGTTATTTTTACTTTTAGATTGAGAACCACGACAATTGTGTTTATGACTACTTAGAAATTAGAGACGGGCACGAAAGCACCAGTCCACTGTTGGGCCGATTTTGTGGGTACAAGAACCCAGAAGACATCCGTTCGTCCAGTAACAAGATGACTGTCAAATTTGTGTCTGATAGATCAGTGCAGAAGGCTGGTTTTGCAGCAGATTTCATAAAAGGTTTTTACTAAACTATTTTATCAATATGATTCATCAATAAAACAGAATATATCATGTGAGGAGATGTGTATTGAAAGATGCCAAGTACTTGCGAAAAATACAATGAAATAATTGTTCAGATTTTAAAAGTTTTCTATTAAAAAAATTTTTGCCTTATCACATAGAAGTTTACGAAATATTTACTTGCATTAACGTAAAATACAGCTGCTTAATTCCACGCAAAATCTGTAAAAAATACATAAGAAAAAATTTAAGGTTTTTTCTCCTTATTATAATTGATTATTTGTTTTTGTCAAAAAAACATTTATAAATATTTATCTGCCTTAAATGTCACAGCACCAAATGTAAACATATAAAAAATATTTTACGTTTATTCAGAAGTTAGTTCATAGTTAAGTTCTGAACATTTTGCTTAACAACGCACACAAATTTGTTTGATTTAAAACGAGGTTTTATAATTGGCTACTTAACCCAAATCAATAAATCTAATTTTTATTCATTATAAAAATAATTCCCGTACCAATACACTTTTATAGAGGTAAGCTAGTTTATGCACAGACATCTTTTGCTTGAAATAAGATATTAGTTTATTGTGCACAGACACTTCTCATTTTTATGCACTGTACTTCAAGGAATGTACCGACATAATACTAGTATAATGGTACCTTTTATATGATTCATTGCCATAATGTCTGCACTGCCTATGAAAGTATTTGGATTTTTACTGCACGGTGCAATTCCATCCAACATTTTCAAAAACTGGTCCTGAACTAATGACAGAGATTCGATTACTGCTTCGGCTTTACTGTAAAAACTCGCATCTCACTATGATTGGGAAAGTGTTCCTTTGCATGTTGGTTTAGTGTTAATGAAGTGATTAATACCCCCCTGGCTATGGAGAGAACTTCGATATATTTGACTATTAGCCCCTTGGCATTTCTCTATGCATCTCACTATGATTGGGAAAGTGTTCCTTTGCATGTTGGTTTAGTGTTAATGAAGTGATTAATACCCCCCTGGCTATGGAGAGAACTTCGATATATTTGACTATTAGCACCTTGGCCTTTTTGGTGATCAGTCCATAAAAATCTTCCATTGCTCCTTCCTGGTGTTCTTCTCCAGCTTATGTTTAGTTCCTGTTTAGTTAGTTGTCATGTTAGCTGTCTTAGCTGTTTAGTACTTCTCCCGCCCCTATATTATTCCCTGTTAGAAGAGTTACACGCAGCCGGGTGGTGCCACTTCCTTTCAAGGATATTTAATTTCAGCAGATTGCTTTGACAAGACTCCTAGGTAAACTTCTTTAATTTGACAGAAAAAAAATAAACTCTCAAATTGTAGGAAATGTAACATGGCCCTATACACCCCTGAACACCTTCTTTCTTAAAAAGGACGATTTAAGTCTGAATGCTTTTCATGTTTAAGATATTTTTCATCTGTTTATGGTTTGATTTATTTTGTCATGCCCAATGACTAAACACTTGGAATTAAAAACATGTGTTCACAATTTCTGTTTTAATATTTTAATTATATATTCTGCTCAAAATAACCTTTAATTCCCTTAAATACGCATCCATCTAGGCAGTTTGAAATGCATTGCTATAAATGAGAAAGTCTCCCAATTTAGTTTAATTAAAAATTTATTCTAGGACATCTTCCTCAACGTCATACATTTAAATCAAAACAAGGCATAAAATAAACGAAACTGCATTTTGCCTTGCACTGTTTAAAAATGTTTGATGGAAGACTGCAATTTTTGTGGGTGCTGGTTTTATTTTTAAAAACTTATGTAGTTTCTTTTTAAATATTTTAATTTTAGTTTTTGTTTTCAGAACTTGATGAGTGCAAGGGAGACCATGGTTGCGAACATGAATGCACTAATACTCTGGGAGCTTACAAATGCGAGTGTAGAATTGGATATGAATTGCATTCAGATGGAAAGAAGTGTGAAGGTATGGTGCTGAAATTGCAAAATTTGATTAAATTATTTACATATTCGGTAAATTTAATGAAGACAGAGCTTTGATAAGCCGATTCTGGTTCTCGTGTTACCTCCAACCAATTAGTAATCATTAAAATCTCAGTTATTTACTTAAAATAACTCCTTCAATCAGTAAATTTTAGACCGGGATAGCCTGGTTAGTAGGGCGTTGGATTCGTGTTCATGAGAATGATAGTTTGAATCCAGCCAGCCGAAGAATCTCCGTGTATTAAATGGTGACTGGTGAACGTGGAATCTGTTGGGATTGCAAAGTCATCCAAGTTCCCATAACGAATCAATACCTCAGGGGATGAACCTGCACTAAAAAAGGAAGAATCAAGTTTTTATTCCTTCACTTAAGAAATTGACGAACAATAGTTCACTTCCTATAAAAGTGACCCAGATTCGAATCCCAGAGATGGCTGGTCGATACAAATTGGCATGTACCGACCGCAGTTCTGACATAAAATATCCTCAGTGGTAGAAGGATCATGGGTTAGAGTCCCCTTTATCATCAAGCTAAACGTGTTAGTTTTTCGTGGTCTTCCTATCCATATAACGCAAAAGCGGAAAAGTCCTATCAAAAAAGTCCTCCATTAAGGAGAAATTTATCCCACCGCTTAAAAGGCACTCTATACTCTAAAAATAACTTTACAAAATTAAACTATGATCTGATTTAAATTTGTAGAATTTGTATAAGATTAACTTACGTATGTGAATGTATGAGATTAACTTAATTAAGATTTTCAAAAAGACCTTTAAAGAGATTTCAAATAACAGTATAAGTAAATAGCTTTTACGTTTTACCTGTCCTACAATGCTACCATATTAAAATTACATTTATAATAAAGTATTATTGAGTAATCAGGCTAGTTTTCACGCTTTTCATTCGACTGTTCTCGTTATTGACTTGTCAATTATAGAAAATGTTTTTGCTTAAATATTTATTAGAGATCCCTAATGTAAATTATCTCATTTTCAATAATAATCCTAAAAATTTACAATAAAGGTGGTGGCTATCTCTGTGTATAAGTGCTTGAAGTTGTAAAGTTAATGAAACCCAATGCAATAACTGGATCACCTTTCACAAAATCTAATAATCTAAATGAAATTAAGGGTAAAGTTAATTTATTTTCCAACCATACAGTTACTTAAAAATAAAATATTTTTTAACTTGTTTAATTTTTAAATTTAGCTTTCAGATTAGCTTTAATTTCTGTTATTTTGTTGTTAATTTCAACCACGTAGAAATAAGCATTTTTACACACCTTTTCGTATGTTATTCCTATAGATTTTAGCTTTGTTCTTGTAATAAGAAAATTTTCCATTTGATCTTAAAATTAGCTTTTTTAGACTGTTTTGTTCAATTTCATTTTTTAACAAAGTACTTTTAAAGTATAAAAGTTTAAGTCTTCGAGCAAAAAAATACATTGCGTAATTAAGCTTCAAAGTTTTAAGATTTTACCATTACCTCCACTTTATTATTTTTGGTTTTTTTTTTTCTTCCTATTCCTCGATTTAAATCTTAATTTTGTAAAGTCTTCGTTCCCTTTGAGATTTTCATAACTTTTAAAATGGCAAAAAAATTTAAATTTTAGAAGGAAAATTATTGCAGCGATCAAAAATGAGATTTTTTCTTTTGTCATGGTAGCCATATATTTTATATTTTTGAAAAACCGCGCAATATCTACAGCTCTTTTTTTAAAAAAATTCCGTTTTTATATTAATTCAAAATTTAAAAAAAATATTGTAAATTAATTTTAACAAAATCATAATTTTAGTAAAAGTGCCATTATTAAAAACATCACAAAATAATTTATTTTTCTTGCAAAAATACCGCTAACAAAATTGAAATTACCAACTTAATAGTCAATAAAAAAATTTAAAAAGTTAAGACTTTTTTTATGTTTTATTATCTTCATGACAACAAAAAATAAATTAACTTGAAAAATTTTCAAACATTTTTATGTCAATTGGTAATGCAAGGAAATAACACTGAGTAAAGCGGTAAATATTAAAACATTATGCAAAACTTATTAAACAACGTTTAATTTCTGCTTGAAATAGATCACCAGATTCTTCAATAAAGTAATGAAGTATTTAGAAAATTTAGATTACGATTTACGATCGATTTGTCTAGACTAGTAATCATCATACTTGATAGCAGTAACTATCCTTTTAAAATGTTTACATATGGAAATAAGTCTAACTATACTCCTTACACTTTTCTCTTATCTATGTCTATTCCTTTTTATTAGTTATAATCCGTCGCAATCCTAATGGAATTTTTGAAGTTTCGTATAACAATGAAACCTTTGCAGCAATCCGAACTTCTAACTTTTGTGAATTATCATAATTGACAATCCTACAGAATTGCATTTCATTATAATTGGACTGTACAAATAAAATTTAAGGATAGTTAATATAAATTTTTATTGTCAACGAAAATATGTTTCGTTATATAATTGGGATAATACCTTATTCAAATGTGATTATTAACTTAATAATCACATTTGAATTTTTTTAAATGAAGTTTTAATGAGGTTTTTAAACTTTTATTTTGTATTGTACATAAAACAAAAAATAATATAGCTGAAATAAATAGATTTTTTATAATAATAGTTAATTTTTCTTCCTTTTAGGAGGACCCTAATTGATATTAGGAATAGAGTTTAATCAATAGGTTGATACAGCAATTGATGCAAGATTTTGATTATCGATTTTAATGTTTAACAAAGAACCGAAATCACTCAGATAGGTGTTGAAAATTAAAAATTATTTTTATATCGTGAAATAATCTAACAACTCTACTGACTTACACCCAAACAGTATAGAAATTCTACAGGCTGATAACTAAAACAATCTAAAAACTCTACTGACTTACACCCAAACAGTATAGAAATTCTACAGGCTGATAACTGAAACAATCTAAAAACTCTAATTTCTGGCACCCAAGACAGTCTAAAAATTTCTCTGACTGATTGCTGAAGCATTCTAAAAATTCTATTGACTGATATAATAACCCTAAAAGTTTCAATAATTATTGCTTACAATTTGTGAATCAAGTGTTTAATCCTCTTGCATTTATATTTTCACTTGATATCTTAACCTAATTTTAAAATATTTTTACAATCATTCAAAAGTGCCACTATGTAATATTGACACTGAAAAGAAGACATCTTGAAATACTAATTCTAAATTTTGAAGTACCAAAACTGGTTTAATAAAATCAACAAAAAATCGTTTTTGATAATACTCATTATTTTTAAATTCAGTACTAGTAAAAGATTATATTAGCTTCTAATGCGATTCTGATATTTACCGATACAGATTTTGATTATCATGCACCACTCCCGCTTATTTTTGAATAATAAATAAACGCTAATTTACCACTGCGTGCAAGCACGAAACAGAATATAAAACTCAACTCCTTATTTATATCTCGTTTGAAATCTCTCTCAACTGCTAATAGAATAAAAATTAAAAGTGAATAGTCTTTCCTGTTTAGAAATAGTTATGAAGTATTTGGTAACATAACCAAGTTATGAAACCTGAAATAGCATGTTATAACGCGATCTTGCGTGATACCACGAAAGATTATTACATTGTAGCTTTTAATTCTCTCCCTAATTTTATAAGCGATAATTTTGTCGCTGATTATCAGTGATCAAAGAATCGATTCTCTTAATTCTTTATTCAATTTTTAAGCGCTGAGTAGTTTTTTGCACAAACATAGCGTGCAGACTTGAAATTAAGCATATTGATATTTCAAGCATGAATATTAATTATATTTTTATTTTATCAATTCAAAGCGTTGAGTGACTATCACTATTATTTCAGGGATTAGAAAACTTTTCATTCTGCGTTTCATTTAAAATTCCCACATTTAAAATATTACTATTTTCTACGAGATACTGCTGTTTCGTTCATTAATTTTTAGATAATTAACCTTATAAAACTTAACATAATCAGCGTTTGTAGAAACAAACAAAAAAATATTCTTATTTATTTTCAAGTCAAACTCTAGAATTTACTCTAACAATCCAATATTCAAGAGTGTTTTGAGAGGTTATTTCTTAATAGTATATCGTTTTTCAAACTTATTCAATATTTCGAATCAAATACAATAAGAATAAAAATGAATCCTATGAAGAAACTGTTTGATGTATAAACAAATATCCGAATAGACTATAGCATTTAAACGATAACTCATCTACCTTATTTATTGTTTATTACTAATACAGTTCGATTTAGCATTTTTCCCTACTTGTTTTCATGTACAAAAGTTGGAAAAATCTTAAGAAAAACTGAATTCTTATCTCGATAATAATAATCATCATTTTATCCTGCTTATCCATGATTTCATTTCATTTCATAACCACTTTTAAACAGTCGACACAACTCATGTTTGCAACTATCAATGATTGTTTGCAACTATCAATGTTCAACGCCGTAGCCGTGTAATTTTGAACCCAATCCAGCATTGAGACGACTTTTTGATGGAACTAACCCTCACTTGCGTTATGTTTAGAAGAAAACCACGAAAACCTCCCAAAGTTAGCCCGACATCATGGGGATTCTAACCCCTGATCTTCACAGAAAATATTTCATGTTAGCATTATGAACAACACGAGCCGAAAGCAGAACGTAATGACCAGCCATCGTTGGGAATCGAACCTGTGTCGCCTTATTAGGAGACGAGGGTTCTATCCCCTGAACCACAACAGCTCATCCATGGTTTGCCCCATAAACCAGCATTCTTTCTTCATGATTAAAAGAGATTTCAGATCAAAAAATTTTTAAGACAACATTGTGAATTTTTTTCAGTTGATAATTTTTCTTTAAGCCTGAACCCCATTTTTGTTTTTCATTTTTCCCCTCTTACGCCATTTTCCTTGGTATTTCACACTTGTATTAAACTCCACGTATAAATAGTGACAAATGAGGAGGAGCATCTTCCTGCATTATAACCAAGAAAATCGCATCTGTGAGAGTAGGGAGGACTAGAAACGCCATCTAGTGAGCGGAGAAAAAACTTACTCTTTCCCTGTATATGAACATGCGAGTTTTATCCTTTAGTTTAACAATTACTTTTCCTGTAATCTTACAAACCCATGCTTTCTTTTTTTGTGACCTTTTGCTTGTGTTTAAAACAAAACCGTGAAGAGACTCCTGCTTATCAGGCGTTGTTTGTTCTAAAACAAATTTATTTCAATTTTCCAAAATGCCGCTTAGTATGTCTTTCCATCAAGCGCTTTAATTAATTCCTCCCTTTATACTTTTAAAATTCGAAACAATAACTTCAAACCATTTTTTATCCCTAAGAAAGACACTTTAAAAATGGACAAAAAATAAACGATCTAAAAGTCTATTAATCATGAAAAATGACCTATACCCCCAGCATCCTTTCAAAACACGGGGTTTAGGCCTTACCCCCTGAAATATATTTATAACAACTTTGTCGTAGCCTCCATCTATGGCTGAAAGTACTTCCAAACTCAGAATAGGCGAAGTTTGGCGAAGAAAAATCGTTCTCGCTGGAGCATAAAGGGATCAAAAGAGATTTAAGAGATCACCGGAAACTTTTTTCTCCGCCGATGTAATTTTTTACACCTGAACCCCATTTATATTTTCCCTTTTTTTTTCCTGTACTTTTTTATTTTAGGAATTTCGAGACATAAAAAGTTACAAATATTTTCTTCCTTTTTTTCCAAGTTATTCTGAATCTGTTTTCGAATGGATAGTAGCAAGTGCATAGATGTTCTGATTATAATTTTTTTTTCTCTTTTCGATTGTGTTCTCTTGCAAGTCTTTCTAAGAAAATTCTCGCTCATCATCATTAAATGGCTCCCTTGAGATTTGCAAAGGGAAAAATAGGATTCTGTGGGGATTTCTCAATTGGGTTTTCTTAAAATATCTTGCTATTTTTTCCCTTCAAAATAACTTTCTTTTTTAGATTTCTTTGTTTAAAAAAACTCTTTCCTTTTTTTATTTATTTTTTTTTAAATGAAAATATTTCAATTTATTTATTTATTTTTGTTTGGAAAAAAATTGCATAAATAACGTTTTAATATGTACTACAATAGAACTAATAACGACAAAATGCTTACATTTTATATGTAGGTGTACTTTAAAGGAGTTTTATAATGGCGTCTTGCACAATTTAGAATCGCCTTTAAAAAAGAAAGAATTTTGAAGATGGAGGAAATCAATATTTGTGTTTGAAAAAGAAAATCGCTATCAAAATGCATCGATAGAATTGTGGAAATCATCAAAACCAATTTAATTGCCTGATAAAACTTGGTGGTCCAATATTTGCTTTTCAACTCCTTCCCTGTTTTCACCAGCAATTAACTGGCTTTTTCGCTTCCAGTATCATCTACCTGAGTAGCATTTCGATTGTATTCTTATTCTTTCCTTCTATTGTTTCTCTGTAACGAAATAAAACCAACGTAAATCATGCTAAGTTATTTTTAACCATTTGCACTTGCTAAAACTTCACTGTTGCTCTTACTAAATGAGTCGACAACAAGGCATGTCTATAATAAAAATCAGAACAATCTTTTCTATTTCTGTAATGATAAACAACTATTCAACTTTTCGTTTTGAGACTTACCTGATTGAACTACTAACCAAAAAATCCCAAACGTAAATATTTACCTCATCTTTGCTCTGAAACTAAAGCAGGTTCTGAAACATGCGAAGATGTATCTTCCTTTTTCAATTAGCCACAAAGCAAAGCCTCTTTCGTAAAAGAAATAGTTGAACCTTTTTCCTGGCTTCGGAGATCAATATGAGGCAAATATTTACATTAAAAACGAAACAGTTAAGAGGCTTCGCCCCATTCCAGCTGTGTATTGCCTACCGACGTGTATAACACGTTGCTGGCGCTTTTGTGACCAAAGCATTTTGAAAAAGCTATTTGAATATGATTGTTTGATTGATGCTTTTTATTGCAGATGCGTGTGGAGGAGTGATCGAAGAAACCAACGGGACGATAATCAGTCCATCATTTCCGGACTTATATCCCCCAAATAAAATATGTATCTGGGAGATTATAGCACCGCCTCAATACAGGATCACACTCAACTTCACACACTTTGATCTGGAGGGAAACAACGTTAGTATTTCTTTAATTTAATATCATCTATTGCTATCACTGAGTTTTACATAGATTAAGCAATGTTAATAGTAATTATAGCAAAGCTCGGATATTCTATCACTGAGTTTTACGTATGTTACGCAATCTTAACGCTATATAGACTGAAACTTAGTATATACATATAGTGTCCAAAAGCAGTCAAATTGACTGTAATGTGAATGAATAACAAATGTGTAAATAAATTTGTTTAACATTAATTTTTAACATTATTTTATATTTTTTAGAGTTATATAACAAGTTATTCGTAAATATTAACAATGAAAAAAAATTATATAATGTACAAAAAGTCACAAAATTCTAAGAAATTGTGTCTTTATATACATCATTGTTTATCGAATTAAAATGAAAAAGCAAGCAAAATGACTTCCTTGGGCAATCTAGTGTTGATTGTATTTAAAATCAAGCTCATCTATTGCTATCACTGAGTTTTACATACATTAAGCAATGTTAATAGTAATTGTAATCAAGCTCGTATATTCTATCACAGAGTTTTACGTATGCCACGTAATGTTAATGGTATTTAAAATCAAACTCATCTATTGCTATCACTGAGTTTTACATACATTAAGCAATGTTAATAGTAATTATAATCAAGCTCTTATATTCTATCACAGAGTTTTACGTATGCTACGTATTCTTAATGGTATTTAAAATCAAGCTCATCTATTGCTATCACTGAGTTTTACGTATGTTACGGAATATTAATGGTATTCAAAATCAAGCTCATCTATTGCTATAACTGAGTTTTACGTATGTTATGTAATCGTAATAGTATTTATAACATATTCAGATACTTCTGCATTGAAATTTTTACCACTTATTGGTTTTGTATTTGAACATTCAGCTACAAATTCGTAAATTTAATTTGTAGCTGAATGTTTCCTAACAATGTGTTTAATTCATGAAGCAAGCGTACCTATTTAGGTTACTATATTTTTTTATATCTTGTTTGTGCAATACAAGGAACATACTCAATTCTTCCACTACTTTTTTTTGTGCAACTTGTTCACTTCATATGTGAAACATACATTTTTTACTTCAATGAATTTTTTACTTCGAAGTCAATGAAAAGTATACATATCTTGTAAGACAATATGTTGAACTTAGTATATACTTTTTTCGATAATACTTAGGAAAAAAAAAACAATTTTCATTGCATGAAATTTTTATTGGATACTTTCGTTCCCTATTTTCATTTATTTCGCTTCTATTCTCGATTTTCAGCAAATGCCGTAAAAACTCAAGTAGGTTGGATTTCCATTAATCTTTTCACGCGGTTTTAAAAATGATTGAAATAAGTCAACTAATCAATAACCATAGAATTTTCAAATAGTGTTGGTTGAGGGATTATCTACAAAATATTCTTTACTCAAAATTGCTGTTCTTTACTCAAAACTGTTGCGTAAATTTTTAAAAAGAAATGTGTATAACATGTCCTTCAACAAAAAGTTTCCTGGTTAATATTGTCTGATTGCAGCAAGACTGCGAGTACGACAGTGTAGACATCCGGAGCAAGATGGCGGACGACGAGATTCGTAAGCATGGAGTATTCTGCGGCTCAAGGTTACCACCGCTCATCACCTCGGAAGGTAACTCTCTCCGCATTGAATTCAGCTCAGATAATTCAGTTCAAAAGAGTGGATTTGGAGCCCTTTTCTTCACAGGTATTATCACCTTTCATATTCTAAATATACAATAGCGATAAAAAGCACCACCACCCATGGTTTAACACTTTTGCAGTGAAATCTCCTTCAGGCCACGAATATCGCTGTACGAAGCGTATTCTGCTAAGTACTCCCACAGATATTTTAATAATGTATGTGGGAGTTGCGATGGCTCAGGGGATAGAACGTTCGCCTTCCATTAATGTGAACCAGGGTTCGATCCCGGCGATGGTTGGTCGATACGAATTCCTCATCCGGCTTGCACCGACCACAGTGCTAACGTGAAATATTCTCAGTGCTAGACGGATCATGGGTTAGAGTCCCCTTGCCGTCAGGCTAATCGTGGAAGGTGCTCGAGGTCTTCCTCTCCGTGTAACGCAAATGCGAGTTAGTTGCATCAAAAAGTACTCCACGAAGGCAAATTTCTCCCAATACTTGATCCAGGAATTCCCTTGCCTTCTGGATTGAGTTCCAAATTACAAGGTTGCGGAGTTGAACATTAGTAGTCTACACCCGAAAATTGGGTCGGCTGTTCAACAACGACTATAAAATAAAATAATGTATATGGTGGTCACAAGAATAATATCTTGATCCATTTGTTTCAATGGTATCATGTCTGTTTATTTGTGTCCGTTGCTTGGCATCTGTTTCTCATCTCGCCACTTTACAAATTCAGCTTGAATCTTTGCCGAGTAAAGAGGAATATAACTTAAAATCTTTACCCTAATTCGTTGAAATTTTGAAAAGAAAAATGGAAAACATATTTCGTAGTGAGTCAAATAGCAGTGAACAGGAAAGCTTTTACGAGGTTCACAATAGTTTTCTTAATCAATCATTTCTGTATTGCTTTCATGACAATTCAATAGTTCGGTTACTTCCTGTGAAATATCTTCTCCAATACATACGAATATCCTTCGCAAGTAGTCAGATAAGCATCACCCTGGTGCGTGTGATGATGCCCGATCAAAAACTTTGCTGTCACCCGAATATGGGCGACGCGGCAGTCCACGTGTAACGAGGAAAGATATGAGGTATGAACTGGTTATCAGTCATACGTTGCTGGCTGTGTTTACATTAATGTATAACCCTGAAGGATGGGTTAAGATGACTGTACTATATTAATAACGTTGTCACGCGTATTCACTGTTCATTAGAGCAACCCTTACAAAAATGTTAACATTTTGAAGTTGAAAATCAATACCTGAAGACGTCTAGAATAAAATTCGACGAATTCATATCAAGAAAAACCAGACAAAAAGAGGAAAATCTTCAGAAATTGGTTTATTACATAAAAGGTCCCTTTTCCACAAAATTCCGCATCATTCGATTTCGTTCTAATTTAAGATGGGTAACCATTAAATCATCCCACGATTATTCTTATAGAATTTTAGGGTAGTTAATGTTGTTAAATCAATTCATAAGTGTCATTTATTTAAGCTGAATATATTTTTGAACTTAATTTAGCGATATGTTTTTGTCTATGAAGACGTAGTTTATGCTTTAATATTCACATCTATTTTCAAAAGAATATGCTTTAAAATTGACCGAGCACTTCATATTTTGGTAAGTTGATGTAGAAATGTTTCTTCGAAACATTACTTTAATATATGAAATTATGAGAATAAAAACATAAAAAAACATGTGCTTGTGAAGTGGTTAGTTGTCTGATACAATCAGTAGGGATATCAAAATGAAAATATGTCAATTTACCGCTTTTAAAATTTAAATTTAACTTCTAAATTTAATTAATTTAAATTTATTCTTAATATTTAAGTTTAGTTTATTTAAATTGACTTTCCAATATTAAGTCCCCCTCGAACAAAATGGCAGTAAAGGGATGAAAGAAACATAATTTTTTCGAAGATTAAAAGCAACTAAACATAATTAACTTTTATGAACAGATTTAAAAAACATGTGTATATTACTCATTTAAATATGATTTCACAAAAAATACACTTTTGCAATTTATTTTTATGCATTTTTGATCCAACCAATAGTTAGAATCGAATAATTTCCCAATAACTCCGGAATCAAAAGATTTTTAAAAAAAGAAAAACTTATTTTTTTAAGTAGATTTCAAGTCAAATTGTCCGACAGAATATTTGAAGTAAGCCATTTTTATCGGTTCTTGAAATTTAAAAAAAAATCATAAATAAAACAGTATACGTGACTTCATTTCATATCGCAAGAGTATTATCAATCAAAAATTAAATAATCCCCATGAGAGAAGTGAAAAAATTAAAAATCGGTTATAAAAATGACAGTGAGAACTATTTTATGTGAAAGAAAAATACTAAGTTTAGGATTTCTTTTAAATATGTATAAGAAGGAAAAAAACCAATGCTTCTGCGTCAAAAATGGATATAAATTTGATTTTATGAAGCGTAAAATTTTCGAATACAGTTTTTCGATTTTTCTTTATTTCGTTCTTTCGTTTTCAGTTCTTGAAAAGAATGGCATTTTCTTTTGTTATTCTTTTTCCGAAATGACTTGAAGATTTTTGAGTTTCACTCCCAGAAATAGAAAAGAAAAACTTTTTTTTCTTTCTTCAAATATTCGGTATACCTCAGAAATAAAGTATGTGTTTTCGTTGGAAGATTACGGGGTGCAAAAATGAAACATGGTTTAAATATATTTTGGAATATTTTGAAAAATGTTATTTTATCAGCGTTGCTCTTTAGAAAAACGCTTGGAATAGAATTTATGATTTTAGAAGATTGAAATTGAGTTTCGAGATTCTGGTTTTATGAATAACACTCCTTTTTATCAAGTACATGTAATAACAGAAAAAATAATAGTTTGCTGCATTTAATTTTTATTATTTAATAGCTGTAATATTTATTTAGTTGTACTTTTGAATATAGTTAATACACGCGCCCATTTTTGAACTTGATGCTTAGTTTTCTCGAAACTTTTTTCTTTTTTTTTCATATAGGAGAAAAGTTTGAAACTTTTTAAACTCTTAGTTTGAAATAAATTGTTTTTTGCTACATCTCTGAGATTATTTAATCAAGAAATAAAAATTAGAGCAGTTGAAGGATTTGAGGTGGCAGAATGATAAAAATAAAAATTAGAGTAGTTGAAGGATTGGAGGTGGCAGAATGATAAAAATAAAAATTAGAGTAGTTGAAGGATTTGAGGTGGCAGAATGATAAGCCATATTTTCAAATTGTTCAGTAGAGTGTTTTTTCGTTCCGTATATTGTGTTGTATACTGTTATTAACCCTAGAAAATTTTTAAACACCAACCTTGAACGGAAAAGTCTTGTTTTTTCTTAAACATTCTACATGTTTGGAAAAAGTTTGAATTATCTCTATATCGCCTCTAACCCTTCCATAAAATTACACATAATGGTCCGTACCCAAAATAATAATTAAAATTATGTTCCTAAGAATATACATGTAATGAGTTCATTCTTAAAATTTTCAAATTGCATTTCTCGTTTTACATAACAAAAAGTTAATATGTAATATTTTGCATGCAATGTTTCTAAAATGCACTGATGTCATTACTATTTAAATTGGATTAATTTTTCTAAATGAGATAAGCGCGAACATATATGAACTTATTTTTATTTTCGTCTCATCTCTACAGTAAGGATTGATCACTTGCAAGAGAATACTACAGAGTTTTTTGAAGTCATAAGTACCGTCAAAATTTATCAATTTGAGCTGACAAATTTTAATCTCTCTTGCTGAATTCGCAGTTCGAAGAAAAACAGTGTTTTAATCCACCGAAAGCATTTTGAAGTTTGTTTTTTTTAATCTCCAACAAAAGATTAAATATAACTATCTCTTTTGCTTGTTATAAAGCAGCCAACTGATTTGCATAACTTATGAATTGATATTATCATATGTATAATGCATTATTTTAACTGTTATAACGATGTTGTATTTAATCAACGCAATATCATTTCATTTATTTCAACTCATGTTTATCCATTACTTTCTTTCAGCGCAGGTTTCAATCTGCTGCTAATTATAATTGTTTTACATAAATCAAGCAAAATAAATTGTTTCACGCAAAGTAATTGTATATTGCATTCTGCATGAAGTTTCGGTATTTCTTCATGTCTATGTTAATGCTCGCCAGTTGAATGAGTGTTAATAAATGATATTTGTTGTTCCAGAATAATTTATCTGATATCATTTAATGAAACACTGCAGCGTAAATAGAAGGGAAATGATTTAATAATTTTAACATACTGGCTTTATAGACTTATTTAGTAAAACTGAAATGAAAATTTTATTTTCTAAACAAAAAACACTATACTGCCGTTCAAATGAAAAATCAACGTAAGCGACAAAAAAATTAAAACTTTTTATATATTTGGCATCTTTGTATGGTAAGTTACATATATTGCAAAAAGAGCAGCAATACCTCAGGGGATAGAGCGTTCGCCTTCCAATGAGGCGAATCGGGTTCAAATCCCAGACTTGCACCGACCACAGTGCTGACGTGAAATATCCTCAGTGGTAGACGGTTTGATTCCCCTTGCCGTCAGGCTAACCGTGGGAGGTTCTCGTGGTCGTCCTCTAAATGAAACTCCAATGTGGGTCAGCTTCTTCAAAAAGTCCTCCACGAAGGCAAATTTCTCCCAATACTCGATCCAGGAGTTCCCTTTTTTTCTGAATTGGGTTCAAAAAAGGCTACGGAGTTGAACATTAGTAGCCGTAAGCCCATAACATTGGGTCGGCTGTTCAACGACGGTTATAAAATAAAATAAAATATATTGCAAAAAGCATTATAAATAAACTTTATCAGTTTTTTGTAATTCTATTTCAGCATTCATAGCATTAGCAATAGAAGGAAAATAAATGTCAAGTTGTAGTGTGAAGGAATATCGGCTAGCTCAAATTAATTGTAAATTAGGACAAAAGTGACTAAAAGTACACTTAATAAGGAATTTTAATTAATAACCACAGATACAAACATAAATTACATTTGAACAAAAAGTAAAAAAGAATTAAAATTTAAGAAAACTCTGGGAAAAGGAAAAAGTCATGTTTAAGGTTTCATATCCGAACTTGAACTGAGTCTCGGTGGTGGGGACATAGGTGGCACCACAGGGCATCGCTTTATTGCTACAGATATTGTAAGATTGTATTTCTAGTGCTACAAATAAACTACCCGTTACAAAGTCACTTTTTTGGAATCAATCGTGAAGCACTTATGTTGTTTTTTCAATTGCATGGCAGTATACTGCCGTGTAATTGAAAAGACAACGTAAGTGCTTTCCTGTAGATTCTTCTAATGCTAAATATAAGAAAGCTAAAATATAATTTCTAAAAACTGATAAAGCAATGTTTAATTTGAAAAAAAAAATCTTTTGCAATAAGTGCAATTGCTTATCACACTAAAAGGCTAAATGAATAAAAAATCTAATTTTTTTATTATTTTTGTCACTTACGTTAATTATTCTATTGCTCGGCAGTATAATGCTCGTGGTGTTTTCATTTACTTCGATTTGCTTCATTTTGTTAAGACAGAATTATTGCAAATAAGTTTCTGTGTTCATAGTGTTTCTAAATTTTCCTCAGCAAAAGATTGCAAAACAGAAACGACATCGCAATATTTTTTCACAATTAATATCACTAATACTTTATTTACTGTACACATGTATATGTATGCAGATTTGTGTGCTCCTGACACAGACTGCTTAAAAGCCCTAGTCAAACTGAAGAACACTGATAGCTCATATTAAAGAAAGAAATCACATAGATATATCTAAGATATCAGTGGGATTTGAACCTCCAGCCTACTCATCGTTTCGCGGATCCGCGACACCGCTCGGTCAGGGAAATTTCGACTAATGAGTAGTTTGAAAGTGTGAAAAATATTAATTTTTAAAAGGACCACTTAAGAATTTTAAAAAGAAGAAAAACAAATGAGTGAGTGTCGATAAAAATTCTCCTATAACACTCGATAATAAACTCAAATAAACACTCGAACTCCAATTACCTCTTACGTTCCAAAGCGATTTCCGGAAGGACAATTCTCACTATGGACTGATCGGAAAACACTGTGTCCAGTTGATCACCGAAATCTAGCATCACTGGCGGTGGTCAGTAAGAAGGTGGGTTACAACTTTGATCAGCCTATGAAAGGAACGAGTTTTGTTCTACTACTAGAGCGCTGGTCTTCAAGAAACCAAAGCGGATGAGCCATTCCCTCTGCAGAGGATCAAAATTGTGATGGCATGTCTTCGGATCATCCTCCTGGATGTTTCGTAGCTAGGCAGTCCAAACTTTAAAGCCTTCCAAACCGTCCCTAATAGCCCATTATACACCTCTAGTCCGGCTTTAGTATTTCTAGTGCGAGTTAAAGTGCTACTACTACCGGAAGAACAATACAGTTCGAAGATATACAAAATATATATTAAGCTAACAAGCACTATTATATGCAAAGTAAAAAGCAAATGCAGACAAAAATGGAAGAAAAGAGAGAGATTATTACAAATAAAGCTATTATACATTATAAATTCAATACTTTACAGTAATGTGTGATGATTCAATCTCAACTTAAATGAAACTTAAATACGCTCTAATTGTTAGCGTCACACTAGACTTACATCATTGTGCACTTTAAAATGATCTGGGATTCATCTTTAATTATGATTCACAAACACTAAAAAACTCTAATATATATGTAAATCATTCGTCGTTTAATTCATATATTACGCCGTCGTTCAATTCATATATCGTCGTTCAATTCAAATATTACGCCGTAATGGCTGTGTCTCGATAATTAACATGACTTTTAAATGTTGCCAAATTTTCCACCAAACGATTACGAGTATGGAGGTAGTGGGTTCAAATCCCCCCGCAATCCAGAATTCGTCTTTGTGCTTTCTTTCTGAACATTTTTTAAGACCGTGTGTTTGGAGCAGTATGTCCTTTTTTTGTATGTCCTTTTCCTGTTGTGCCACTAAACCCTACGTTCAATTCAATTCTGAACATTTTGACAAATATTTATAAGCCGTTCCTTAGAATAAACATATAAGCCAGCTTATGTCTGTTAATAAATAAATAAATAATTAAATGAAACGTGAACAGGCCAAGAGCTTTAAGTTCGTGGCATTTCAGTGACTTCGGGACAAGAACCTGCTTGTTTGCCAGCCAAACCAAAGACTGTTAATCTTCAAGCCGTCCCGGATAATGAGTTATCCATCCTTCAAATGTATGAGTTATGTTATGTATATACAGGTTAATGCTAGTAAATAGCACATTTTAAACATCCCGAATTCTGTTTTAAAGCAATTCAAAGAGGCGTGGTAGCCCAGTGATTAGAAAATCGGACTCCAGTCCAGAACGGTCGTTATTCAATCCTCGATTCCACTAAGATCCACAGAATATACGTGATATACGTGCCCGTGAAATCTAAAGAATCAAGAATCCTGCTGTCGGTCATTGAGTAGTACCTATAGTACTGGGATCTAGCGGAAATTCCCTTCCTCTTCAGATCTATAGATCCAAATCTATGTCAATTGAGGAAGTGGCTTCACGAACGAATAAGGTTGCCATCTATCCGTGGGGTTCTGAGCTAAGACGTACGTTCACCGTTGTGGTGCTCTCTTTTAAATTGAAAGGCGCACCTTCCTGAATTACTTCGCAAAGAACCAATGGCTAGAGAGCTTGACCTGTCCAAGTGTTAATAGAAAGAATAACAGCAAAATATTAAATAGCAGGCGACTTTGTGAAAAGTTGTGAAGCAGGCAACTTATCTATGCCAAGCAGGCAGGCAACTATGGCAATAATCTAATTTACAATATACTTCATTTCAAATATTTTATTTTTTAAATGTGGAAACTAATGTTCTTGCAACTCTTCTAACCATTTATCTTCATAAAGTCATGTAATGAAATTTTGTTTAGGGAAATACTATATTAGTCAGGTCAAAAAACGAACCTAAATACATGAGGAAGTTTAGACAAGCTGCAATAATAGAACGAAAAGCTCTTAAGAAATGAATTGTTGAAATGGAGCCTTCTCTAAATTTTTTGCTTAGAAACTTATCTGATCAATTTGGATCAAATATTGTAGTTTTCCTTCTAAAAATTCTTTAGGTGGTTATTTACAATAATGGTTGTTGGTTACATCAAAAAAATAGAAATAAATAAAACTAATTATGATAGGAAATCTTGGCAATATATCCAGAAATCTTGTTAATCATTTGGGTCAAAAAGAAAGCCTAAACTTTATAATAAATTTAATGTTTTCGAATTACGAAAGCTTCTCACATTGAATGTGAAGTGTTTTTCCTCAGTTTCATATATTACTGATTGTATGTGTGTGTGAATTAGAAAATACCTGGTTATGCACCTGTACTAACTCACTATACCCATGCTTTTTACCATAAACATACTATTATTTATTGTCTTCCTTTTAGATAAAGATGAGTGTGCCACAAACAATGGGGGGTGTCAACATATTTGCAAGAATACTATTGGTAGTTATGCGTGCTCCTGTCACAATGGATTTGTTCTGCACGAAAATCTGCACGACTGTAAAGAAGGTAATAATTTCTAACTATTTTTCATTCATTATTTTGTAACTAATGTTTAAATGATTCCACTAGTCTGAAAACTGCGAATCCTATGGACCTAGGACTTTCATATTTCTTTGTCCTTTTTTTACTAAAAGATACTCCCTATTTAAAATATGAATTCTCAACCTCTGTTTCAGTTTATCATCCACGAGCCTGTTATTATTTCATTTATTTATTAGGATGTGATAGCCGGAACTGTCTCCGGTAAGGAGCTGCCAAGTTTGATTCTCGACTCCGCTAAGATCCATAGAGTATATACGACGTGCTCGTAAAATCTGTGGAATCAGAAGTCTTGTGGTTGGTTTCTGAGCGGCACCGTGGGTTCAGCAAAATAATAAGGCGTAATGCCATAAAAAGTTTTTCTTTTAAAGGACTAATATTTATGAGCAAATACAAAATTTCAAAGCTGGAAATTCGATACAATGGCTGAGAAATGAAGCTGGCATGCATGTCTACCAGTTTTCTCGTTAGCTTGAATTATTTTGCATAGTATGATATAGTATTGTATAGTATAATTTTGTATAGTATTTGGGTATTGTACTAATGAAGTACAATACCCAAAGTAAAGCAGCTTTGAAATTTATAATTTGACAATACAGCTCTTTTGTGGTAGGCAATTGGACTTTTAATTTAAAGTGTTGAATTTAAAAGATCAGGTTTCTTCAGAAAAGAATAATAATTGAGAAGTTACTGGTTTTGCTATTTTCATTTCAATCTTTGAGAAATAAAACAGAAAAAAAACATGCTTTCCTGCAAAACATTTTTATTATTATGACTAAAATTTCCATGTTCTTTTGGTAATTTCTTTCTAGAAAAAGCTCCTTCTCGTTTATTGTCTTACATAGCTCCATTTATGTGCTTAAAGTGTTTATACTAAATTATTCATAATTTATAAAATGTCACAAGAACTAAATTTATAAAGTCAAATTATTCTAGTCATACATTTTGAGTTCATGCTTGTCTGGATGCTGTAGTACATAAGTATAGCATACGTCTTGCAGTATATATTTAGCAGCGCCTACAAATAGAATACGCGCCATTTTGGATGCTTAGTATCGTTTTCAAATGTAAAGACAATTTTAAACCATTTTCACCATCCCTAAAAATTGTTTTCGCATTTTTGCATACATTATCAAAAGTGCGATTTTTTTAAAAATATAATTTTTTTTAGGAACTATTCAACTTATTTAGCTCAAATGTTGTATTTTGCCATTTAAAACTGCATTTTTTAAAATGATGTAAAAAATAGTATATCTTACAATTCAAGACTTTTTCGTCTGTTATTAAATAATATAAATATATACTAAAAGTTATATTTTGCATGGAAGTATCTTTGAATAAGCGAATTTTTTAATTGTGTGCAAAAACTTTTTTTTATTCGAATAAAAATTCTCGATATATGATGAAATACGCAAAAAATAGAATAACATTTAAAGTTCCAAACTTTGGACTGCTATTTTGACCAAACTATCGGGATCATATTTGTCAGATTGCGGCTACCCCCTATGTTTTAAGATTTAGTAATCATAATCTGTCGAAAAAAAGGTATATTCATTTAGAGAAAGTACGTTTTTGTGTCTGATTTTGAAACTTTAAATATCATCTGCACTAATTAATCAGCATATTTGAGGTCGCCTTCTTGAACTCTCTAGAAAGTGAAGATCCGATCATTAGATCAAAACCAGAGCTTAACCCTGTCCCGTCCCCATAAGCGGGCATCCAGGTATATCATTAGATCAAAAGTTATTCAGGGTGGTCCGTTTTTTACTTTACGCACGGTACAATGTTTTAATTTATGTAAATAGATGTTTTATTTTAAACCTCTTGTAATGCAAGTTTTAATTTTGTGGTCATAGTGTACAAAATTAAAAGTTGCGCATGACTTTAATTCATGAAGACAAATATTATTAGTATATGTGTTCGTTGAAATTGCAGGTAGCTGTAGTCACCAGATGACCACACCCTATGGAGAAATCACAAGTCCCAATTTCCCAGACTCTTATCCTAGCAGAAAAGATTGCACTTGGCTGTTCACGACCACGCCTGGTCACAGAATCAAACTGGTATTTAATCAATTCGTTTTCTAATCTTAACAACTGTTAAGGAATATTCACATACCTGGCAACTTACACATTTTCCGAGAATGGATTTTCCAAGTGATAGTAAATCACTCCAAGTGAAAATAATCTTACTCAAAAATATATTTATATTTTAATTAGGTTGAAATTCGCTGTCGTTGAGACTATTATGTTTTTATATTGTTTGTTTTATATTTTATAACCTTCGTTGAACAGCCGACCCAATTTTGGGGTTTACGGCTACTAATGTTCAACTCCGTAACCTTGCAATTTTGAACCAAATCCAGAAGACAAGTATTCCAGAAGACAACTCCTGGGTCAAGTATTGGGAGAAATTTGCTTTCATGGATATTTTTTTTTTCTTTTGATGGAACTAACCTGCATTTGCGTTACATGGAAAGGAAGATCACGAGAACCTCCCACGGTTAGCCTGACGGCAAAGGGACTCTAGCCCATGATCCATCTACCACTGAAGATATTTCACGTCATGGGCCGGATTCGTATCGATCAGGCATCGCTGGGATTCGAACCCGGTACTCCTTAATAGAAGGTGAACGCTCTATCTCCTGAGCCATTGTGGCTCTTATTTATTTGTTGTAATTATTTATATGTAGTGGTGATCGAACTCCATCATAATTAGTATTATAATTCAAAAATATATTTAAAGGAATAGCATGAGTTCCTCTACCACTTATGAAAATAAAATCTTCCGAGAATACCTGGAGCAGTCGGCAGTTTCCTGGTTATTCAGAAGTCCCTCCAGGCAATTAGAAGGTTGGAATAAAAAAACACGAAGGGGAATACAGTAAAACTGTACCTTGCACTAAATACAGTAACAATTTAGGTTTTATCTCCATCCTTTACAGTTCTTCTACATGTGAACTATTTGTATCATGACATACATTGATGCAATAGCCCAGTTCATTTCAGATTACTCAATATGGTGCAATCAACTAAACAGATAAAAAATTTGATTATTTCACACAGATTTGCAGATTCACAAGACAAAGTTAATTGATTGTACCATTTGGGATGGAATTTAGTAGAACTATCTTGTTAATGTATACCGTGGAACCAATGATTTACATAAAAATAAAATTTGAATTGCTTCCGAATTTAGGGCAAGATTAGTTAGCCGAAATCGGCTTAGTTTTTACAATAGCCTGCTAAAAATCTAGCATTTCTTTTTCAACTCATAGTTTAATTGATTTCTATATTTTCCCGATATTTTTTTCCGTAGTTTCATTTGAATTAAAATTAAGCATTCTCCGAAAAACTTCTTCGATTACTAAAAATCGATTACTAAATCACTAAAATCACCGATTAATAAATCACTAATTCGATTGCTAAATCACTAAAAATTTTAAAAGTTATTTACTAGTTGCCGTCAATCTTCTGAAGATTACTTTAAGAATTTTATGAATCCACAATATTCCAATACCAATCCGTTGCTGTGAAGGGTATTCCAAAGTAACTCTAAATATCTTCAGTTGACAAAATAATTGGGTGCTTGCAACTCGAAAAGAAAAATATTGCAAATCACGTTGTTGGGCTTAATCACGTGTGCTAACGTTACAGCTTTATCAACTTTCGGATCAGATTTAATTGGATACATGCACACGTTGTCACGCATGTCTGTCGAACCTGATTGGCTGCAGAATCGTGGCGTAAAGAAATGCCCGGATTTACCCACTAGTGACGTCGCTTGCAGGTATCCAATTCCTATCAGTATTCCGTATCATGTGAAAGTGGTTGAATATTTGAATAAAAAGGTTTTTTTGTTTAGGTTTTCTTAGAGTTCGAATTAGAGCCTCACCAAGAGTGTGCCTATGACCGCATCGCAGCGTACGATGGAAAAGACGACGATGCGCCCACCCTTGGAAAGTTCTGTGGTAGTAAAATACCCCATCCCATTCTTGCATCTGGCAATCGAATGTACCTCGTTTTCAAATCAGACGCTTCTGTGCAAAGGAAGGGTTTCAGAGCCACCCATAAAACAGGTGGGTACTTTAATATTTAAAAATTCAATTCCAAAATGGCCTAATAAAAAACAGTATTCATATGAATGTTAATTTCTCACCACTTCTGCATAGAGTGTGGAAATGTATTGTATACTAATTTTCCGCTCTCCGCCTGTGTGGTTTTTCTTCTGCTTTTTTTTTTTTCCTCACTCGGCTACTGTGGTTTTCCCAACTTTGTTTTTCACCTTTATTTTTTCATTTTTCGTCGGCAACTTTACGTTTTTTATTTCAAATCACTTTTATTTCTTCTCATTCACGTCTGTGGCACGTTCTTAAGAATAGGTATTTTGAGCTCTTGAAATATGTCGACTGATTTCCAATTTGTATATTTTTAGAGTGAATGAAGTATTTAATCAAGTAATATCTTACCACTTCAGTTTTTTTTGAATTATTTATTTGAGGTATTAAATTATTGTGGGGTAATTATTAAAGATGTAGCTTTTTTCTTATTTTATTCCATTTACATTGGTGCCAACTAGCACGACAGCAGAAAAATATATTTCTTCGTGAAAAGTGAAGTTAATATATAAATATTAATTTTAGCAGTTAAATTTTAAATAGCTTTGCCAACTAAGATAAATCAACTCCTCAAACGCATGTAAGATATGTTTATTATACAATTTTGCTTCTTTATTGTAAATGTTTNAAAAAAGTTGTTATATGGATTTGAATGATTGTTTTGAATTCTTAGAATTTTGTGGATTTACAATGTACCTAAGTTAGTAGCAAGAAAAGTGAGCTTGGTTTGCGAAGCGAACCATATAAGATTGCGTAGCAATTTTCGGGGGTTGGCGAGCGTTAGCGAGCAGGGGGCGGAGCCTCCTAGTCACTTTTATTTCTTCTCACTCACGTGTGTGTCACGTTCTTAAGAATGGGTATTTTGAGCTCTTGAAATATGTCGACTGTTATTTCCAATTTGTATATTTTTAAAGTGAGTGAAGTATTTAACCAAATAATATCTTACCACTTCAGTTTTTTCGAATTATTTATTTGAGGTATTAAATTATTGTTGGGTAATTATTAAAGATGTAGCTTTTTTCTTATTTTATTCCATTTACATTGGTGCCAACTAGCACGACAGCAGAAAAATATATTTCTTCGTGAAAAGTGAAGTTAATATATAAATATTAATTTTAGCAGTTAAATTTTAAATAGCTTTGCCAACTAAGATAAATCAATTCCTCAAACGCGTGTAAGATATGTTTATTATACAATTATGCTTTTTTATTGTAAATGTTTGGAAAGTTGCTTAATTTTTAGGAAATTTTTAACACTTTTAAATATCATTTTACTACTACTTCGTAAATTCTTTTCCGGTGATCATACAGATTGGCATCTATGAACTCATGATTATTATGTTCATTTAAACCATGGTTTACAATAATGACGAAACTTCTCAATTTTTAAAGTTGAAAAAAACTGTCAAAAATGTTCAAAAGTATAAAGAAAACTAATTTAATTAAATTTGCTCCGCTGTAAGCAAATTAAAAACTTGTGGCATTAAAATTTAAATCGCCTTTAATAACGCAATACTAAATTTCAACAATAGTGCTTTTATTATGGATCTCATAGTGGCAACACAGTAATAATAGAAATAACAATATGCAACAACATAAATAGGACAAAAAATGCTTGGTATTAGTTAAGATATTCAGTTGCATAGGCCAAATCAAACAATTTCCAAAACATAATTTTTTTGTATATATAATCGAACAGCTGACCCAATTTTGGGTTTACGACTACTAATGTTCAACTCCGTAGCCTTGTAATTTTGAACCCAATCCAGAAAATAAGGGTACTCCTGGATCAAGTATTAGGAGAAATTTGCCTTTGTAGAGGACTTTTTGATAGAATTAACTGGCGTTTGCGTTACATGGAGAGGGAAAACACGAAAACCTCCCCACGGTTAGCCTGATGACAAGGGGACTCTAACCCATGACCACTGAGGATATTTTAAGTCAGCACTGTAGTCTGAGCTAGCCAGAAGGGGAATTCGTATGAGACAGCCATCGCTGGGATTCGAACCCGATTCACCTCACTCTATTCCCTGAGCCATCACGCCTCGAAACATATTTCTATTAAAGCAAATGTTTTGTTTTTTCAGTGTGTGGAGGTCGATTGTTAGCACATCGTGAAATGGAGCACCTTTACTCCCACGCTAAGTACGGGGACCAGAACTACGACAACAAGGAGGACTGTGACTGGATCATCCAGGGGTTGAACGAGAACAGAGTAAGATTGAGATTCCTCACCTTCGAAGTGGAACACGAGCAGGACTGCGGTTACGATTACGTAGAGATTTTTGATGGAGATGATGATTCTGCTAGAAATTTCGGAAAATACTGCGGCAATAAAGTGAGTTTTTTGTATATCTTAATTAGTGTAGGCTTAAAAGACGCACTTAAATCTAACAGCGGCTCACTTTAAAGGTTTCCTAGAGGTTTCTTGTCAATTTTTTGTAGTTTCGCTTTGAATTTAGAAATTTGGTTTCTGATTATCAAAAAAGCATTTTTTCAACAAATACTGGCTTTTTTCATAGATAGGTCCCCAAATTTGACATTTTATTTTTTGTTTTAATTGCCTTAACTCAAGAGTGGGCAAACAGCAGCCTAACTGACCTTCCGTAAATTTAAAATATGATTTTAACCATTAAAAATACTAACGGTATTTCGATAAACATAATCTATTTGCTTAGTCATCTATTGCTTAGCAATCATTTTTGAAGCCCCGTCTCATTTAACATGAGTGACACTTCAGCAAATTAAATATCTTTTTTTTTTTTGGAATTATGAGGATGACCTGAGAAAATCTTAACTGGGAGGACAGATTTGAAATTTTTAATTCATTCAAACAGAATTTCTTTTTTCAAAACGTTTTTTTTTTTTTTTTTTTTTTTTTTTTTTTTTTTNTTTTTTTTGTCGTATGCCTGTTTAGGTAGTGGGGGTGCAATTGTTCCTGTTTTTCAATGGCTCCATCTATGGCCAGGAATTCGACTTCTGCCACGCCATTCACACAACCACAACCCGTTTATAGGGCGGGTCACATTCACACGCATTCACACACGAAGGAGAAAGGACATAGAGCACACAGAGAGAGAAAGAAACATCCATGACTTGCCCGAGATTCGAACCCAGGACCTTTCTGATGCAAGGACGGTTCCCTACCCCCTACACAGTCTGGTCGGCTTTTCAAAACGTTTTTCAATTTAACTAGTGTAACTGCTTAAATTAATCGAGTTACAATCTAAGAATTGAAAATTAGAATTTTGCAAAAGTGCTACGTTTTTTTTATTGTATAGGATAATTTAAGTTAACTTTGACGAATTATGACTTTCTGAAAAGTATACCTTTTAAGTGAATGTAATTAAGTTTTATGGTATAGTAGTATAGGTATTATGATTTATGCGCTCAAGACTAATATTAAAAAAACTATTGCGTACCAATAACGGTTACAGTGACAAAATTTCTTAATTTTCAAATGGCAACACCCACTTTTTTTTATTCACACGTAATCCGTACAGTAAAGACTTGAAATGGAGTTGGAATGATATTTTTTGCTTGCTCTAACAAGCGTCGCCATTTTTCGTGACCACAAACGAGAAGAAAGTGTGATAAAAACCTTTGACTGATTTCTTTGCTTTCTCTATTTTTTAATGATTTAAAATTTTTTGATATATTCATAGTGTTTTTTTTCCTTTAAATTTTGTGTCGCAATTTCTTATGCTAAAAATATTGTATCAACTCAATTTTAGATTTTTTACTGTAAGAATTACATTCTGATAAAATAAAAAAAAGTGGGGGTAGTCTTTTAAAATTTTCGAAATTTTGCCTCTGTAACCATGACCGTGAGAGTTCTGCAATCCGTATTAACTTCATTCGCATAAGTTATGCTCAGAGATCAAAATACCTATGTACAAAATTTTAACGGTATGCTTTTCAAAGCACCATATGTCGGCTAAGTTATTTTATAATCAACCTACATATCTGTGTACTCGTGTTTTCTGTCATGAACCATATTCAATAATGTTAGATTGTAGGTTTTGTAGATCTTTTTTATTTTTTTAGAATATTTCATAGTAGTACTTTTTTTAAACCCATTCGAATCCCATTGCAATAAATTATCGTTTAAGTTTGCTACAACCTTGATTTGATGCGATGTTTAACCAAATCGTCGTACTGCTTATACTTAATCTCAATACTATGCTTCATCTTGAATAAAAGCACGATTTAGTTTAACACCTTAGGCTTGCAGCAAATTTGCACAGTATTGAGCTTCAAGGAACTTATATCATGGAAACCTTGAGCTATTGTCTTTAACAAAGAAAAAAGCATTCATAGGAATAAAACAATATTCCCGGGTATCAAGATGAGCAAAATGTACAGCTATTAAATTGCTGCACATGTTGGACTCGTGGGAATAAATTCAATTGCGACAATGCTCAAAACTATTTCCACCCCAGTCTCATTAACTTATCTTGATGGTCTGGAATCATGTCCAATCTACGAGGGTTGTAAATTAAATAGTCGCAAATTAACCTTGAAACTCACAGAAGGGCGGGCATGCGCAAATAGGATATGGGAGCCATGAGGTGGCGCTGTTGTCGATGTGTAGAGTGCAAAAAACAGTCGATCTGCTTAGAAGGGTAGTTGTTGCTTGGCGTTAAAGTGATGAGTTTCGTTTCCATCGCTCTAAAGAATGTTTTCAAAAGGCTTAATGTCGAAAAAAGACGAGATGCTTAAACCCATTGTACTACTGTCCTATACGGAAAAGCATTTGCGCCACAGGCTTCCACTAATCCTCGATAGCATTTTGTTGCATTTTTGCCACGGGCAACCTCGATTTTAAACCACGACAGCTGATCACCTTTTGAAAACATGCTTTAGAGCGATGGAAACGAAACTCCTCACTTTAACGCCTTACAACAACTACCCTTCTCAGCAGATGGACTGTTTTTTGCCTTCTACACATCGACAACAGCGCCGCCTCACCGTTCCCATATCCTATTTGCGCATGCCCGCCTTACTTCAAAAGTGTATGAATTTGTATTCGATTACCTTTATCTATTTTAGGTTCCGGCTGAATTTTTCTCAAGTGGGGATGTTCTTATGGTCCGGTTCCGTTCGGACGACACGATCAACACCAAAGGCTTTTCAGCTGCGTACATGGCGTACGATGTACCCCTGGAAGAAAATGAAGACATCATGGAGCGATATCATCTTTAACAAAGATTAAAATCATAAACCCCTTAATCAACCTTTGTACAGACTAAAATCATGGAGAGAGAGAGAGGTCTCGTCGATGCTCCGTCTTTCACAGTCAAATACCTTTATAAACACCTGCGCATGCGCCGTGCCGGTGTTTAGCCAGTGTTTGACACCAGACCATCATGCCAAAGAGTCTTTGATTGGATTTTTTCTAAAGAGGAGATTTTCTTTGGTCGACAAAAGATTGGGAGAGTCATATAAAAAGCTTATCTTGCATACATGTGATTGTTTTTGACCATCTTGAACAATTTTGATGTTTTAACGTAAACTTTTACTGTTGAAGACACAGTATTTGAGTTGTGATAATGATTTTTAAATTACGTTTATAAAAATTAGAGTCAACTTTGATAGTTCAATTATCAAAACATACGTAAAGAAAAACTAGTATTTGTTTTCAATCTAAAATAACTTTATTGAACTTTTTATCATTAACTTCTATGAGTAATCAAAGTACGAATCTCTCTTGAAAAAACTCTAAGTACGGGAAAAACAAAGGTTGGAATAAATTTTGGTCCTGATCATTGCCTCTTAAAATTGAAAGCCCCGGCACTTCGTTATACATGTTCTAATTACTTAAAAACTTAGTCAGATAATGCCTAAACCAACTTCTTTCATAAAATTTACCGAAGGAAAATTTCTTACCTCAATGTTTATATAATGGTAATATAATTTAATGAATCACAAAGAATTTTTAAAAAATCCATTTTATTCTAAAACGATATATACTTTAAAATAAATGTTTCATACCGTTTTGAATAGTTTTATTTAGAAAATCTCTTAACATTTTAAGCAGTCTGAGCAACCTACTTGAATAATCAGTTGCGCTAATCTGTTTACAGTTTAAGCAGTTTGAACAGCCGAATTGTATAACCAGATACGCTAATATCTTCAAAATTTTTGCAGCCCGAAGAGGCTACTTGTATAACAGATTTCAAAGACCTTAAGTTCTAAGAGGTGATGCCCTGACTCAATTTTACACAAAAATTATATAACTGACTCTCTATTAAAAAAGAATTCTAAATTTCAAACAGATGATTAAAGTTGAAGGATTCTTTAATTAAAACTTTCGAAGTGATGAAAGAAAAATTTCTTTTTAAGTTAACAATTCTTTTTTCCAAAAAAAAAAACTCCTTTGCTTGGTTTTATGTTTTTTTCCTAAGAAATACAGTCTGATACACTGAATTGTGATTGCAAAGGACTGAAACCGCATCCCCGAATGCGGTTTGAAGCCTGTTCGGTTTCAGATCGACGTGTTCCAACTTGTCTGGGAAGGAAAGACGTCTGTTTAGCAAAGCTGACCTTATCAAACTGTTGGTCGAGAAATTGTGAGCTTTATTCTAACAACTCGACCTTACAAAAAAGCTTTACTTTAAGTTATAATGCTTCTGATAAAGTACTCTAATAAAACCAATTTTTTTTTTTTAAGTTTTAATCAATTTTGAGCTTTTGAATTTATATTTAACAGTTTAGTAACATTATCTATAAATTTTACACATTAAATAAGAGGGGTTTGTTTTTGGATCGACCTGCCAGTTACAATAAATAGTTAATTTAATATCCTATAACTTACTTTCATCAAAATCAATTAAATGACATAATACCAATGAAATTTGCATTAAAAGCAATAGACAACTCATAATGATTCTTAACCTTATAAAACTTATTAACCTTTGCAATAGACTCATTTGTATTGTTAATAATCTCATAAAACTATAAATTTGTAAACTTTTTGAGGATTAAACAAATAGTAAGAAATATAGTAAAGTGTACACTATAATTAAATAAATAGAATTCGTTATTGACAAATATTGAGACCATTTTTAAACTTAAATTATCTTTATAATTTCCCTTTATTTTTTTTAAATAAAATGTACCTATGTTAATATCAAGTATTTAAAAATGATGGGAATTAAACAATGTAAGTACTTAATAATATATAAAAGCTGAAATCAATCTTTTTCTTAAAATTTCTCTTAAGGCTAATCCAGTAATATAATTTGCTTACATTTTGTTTCTTCACTTGGGTTTTGAAATCTTCGTGTAAACGTGGATTTTGTGCTCCTGATATAACCTAAAAATCTTTCCCCCCTTTTCTTGTTTGTTTTTTCCTTCTATTTTTCGTCAGACCCAGTTTGTAATACCGTTTTATATTTTACCACTCAAAAATGCTTTTCTTTTTTTCAACTTTTATGAATAATTATAACAGTAAGAATTCAACTATATATTATAATTTCGGGGAGAATTAAAACTTGACGAAATGGTCTTTGCATAAAATAGTTTATCTCTTTAATCTTTAAACAGTTTTAAAGCCCAAAAATCTAATTTGTTTTAAGATAGCTTAAAATAAAGTTTCAGAGGTAGAAAGTTAAAATTTGAAACTGTGACAAGGAAAATAGATAACGTAAACATAAATTTTTAGCAGGAAAACTCGTAGTGCTGCCATCTGTTATCACATATATGAAAAAGAAACTATGTTTGAAATAATTCAGTTTTTTAGAAAAGTTTGTTATAAAGTTCATAATACGAAGTTAAACTAAATTTTAATAAAGTAAATTTTATTTTTCACCAAGTTAAAATGTATAGGCTTTTTTTTTGTTTAAAACAAATTTTAATAAAGAAGAAAAGTTTTAGAAACATATCATATTTATTTTTATCTAGGGTGACTTAGTTTTGGCTGACATAGCTGTAAGTTCAGTGAAATTTTCATTTTAAAACTTTTACATATCATAAGATATATTTAATTTTGTGGTGAGATACATAAATCATAATATTGCGATTTCCGCATATTTTAAAATCAATTTTATAAGCTAAGATAATACATTAGGACATTGTCAATAAATTTTTAATCTCTTTTTTTTAAGTGTTAGAGAATTCTTAATATAGATTTAGCTAAAGCACAATTTATAATTTATTGTATTGTGTAAAGATATAAATCAAAGGCTTAAGATATAGAATTTGGAAGAAAATTATAGGCACTTTGTAAAATGAAACAGATATGTGATGACCTACTGTACTATTAATTTTGTAAAATAAGTAGAATCCTCCGAATATATCACTTCATTTTTAGCTCTAGAAAAGTATTGTACTGTAATTAAATGTGAATATTATATATTTTGCTTTTCATATAGAAAGATATTCAATCGTCTGCTCGAAAATTTGCAATTGTTCCTTGATTGAAAATTTGTTTATGTATTTGTAGTTAATAATTTTAAATACCATCATATATATTACTTAAAAATATGTTTGACAATTTAAAAATTTATGTTTTGTTTTAGGATATATATAAACATGTATCAAAACAATCAATAATCATAATACGATTCATAAAGCTAAACTTTTATAGGGATGTACAATTTCAAAATCAAGCTCTTGGTGTATAAAGAATTCTACAATGTTCTTAAATATTTATGAAACTAATTATCTATTTCTGTTTAGGTAAAAATTAACTTGCGCTATTCTTTCTTTACCAGTTTATCTAGAAAATAAAGAAATAGAGTAAATAATTAAGTGGAAAAAAAACACTAGATAGAAAAAAAAACATTTATTAGATAAAAAAATATTTTGATCTAATAAATGTTAATGATCGCTTATTCTCTATCCGTTGCTTTTAAAATCAATTAATATACTGTAATTAAAAAAATAAAATCTTTGTGATATAAAAAAGAGGAAAATGAAAGTCTATGTTCTTTGATTCTTAAGAATGATCTGCAATGAGTATGAGCATCTTCTGTAGTAAAAGAGTGACCTTTTATCTAAATTTTCTCTTAAATATCTCTGATTTTTTTTAAGATGCGCATTATTGAAAAAATCATTATTTACACTTTCAGAAATTCAAAAAGTAATTTAAATATTTTATTGGGGACTTTTGATTTCAAAACTTAGACCTAATTTTCATCCAAATAAGATTTTAAAAAAAGTTTTTGCATTTTTTGAAGAATAAATATTTTACCTTTAAGAGCAAATCCATATCCGCAGATTTTAAAAAAAGTTTTTGCATTTTTTGAAGAATAAATATTTTACCTTTTAGAGCTAATCCAATAAATAATTTAAAAGAAATCTATTGGATAAATTATACAAGAATCTGCGTTTGATTATACTTGAAAAAAAGTGGAAGAAACATAATGATATGTGATTAAAATAAAATTAAATATTTCTTTTCAAATGAAACTTGTATTTGAATTTTTTTCTGAATTAAAAACAAATTTTTAAATTATTTTGTGAATTCAGTTTAAACCCCAAAATTGGGCATAAATCGCTATGGTCTTTTCTTATAAATTAACCTATAAAATACAAATGAAATCGTAACGAACTCTACAATCAATCTAAAATCATTTTTCCCCCGTTAAATTTATTTACAGAAATGTGAATTCTTTTTTACAATAAAGTTCGGGCATTTTCAAAAAAATAATAAAAAAAAAAGAACTTGTACTTAATTTCAATTTTCTTAATGAGAAATAATTGTTTTGCACTTTTATTTTTAAAAAATGGATCTAACTAAAAATGAATCTAATCAAAGTTTTGAAACAAAGCTCCTTTAGTCATTTTTACCCCCCCCCCCTCCTCCTGAAAAATAATTGGTTTAAGATAAACATGTAAGGGCTTCATTTTCTTTTTTTTTTCCGCATATGTTTTATTCTAGGATTTTTTCTTCGGTTAAGTTCAAAGTTTTCTTAATTTCTTTTTTCTGACTCAAGCGCTAGACTTCTTAATTTGTATTTTTTCACCTGAACATTGGTTAAAAACTTCTCATCTAAACAATTTCCCCTGCATATCACAAATAGGAGACTGTTTAGTGAAATTGAACGCCAATAAACGTCTTTGGCTGTATTTTGTTACCAAACTTGGCAGTAAAAATCACTCTTGGAAAACTTTTGGCAAACAGTGATATTTCAAAGAGACTGTGAAATCCGTGAATGATTTATCCTGCGAAGTTTTCAGACTTATTAAGTTATATTTTATTTTGTTTAGCTTTAACATTTCTGAAAGGCTGTGAATGGGCCAACTTACTCTTTGGCAGTAGTCTTTTAGTAAACTAACTGAGTAGCCTTATCAGCTGTAGTCACAGAACTGTTGTCATTAATTGTATGAATATTGTAAATGTTTTATTCAATGTCTTGGATTTTAACATGTGATCATTAAACATTCATTTTCAGTCTGTGCTTTTGTTATATATGCGTGTTTTTATCATTTTTTTAAACAATTTTTCTTCATTTTGAACACGATTCCACCTAAATACAAAATGTAGATATTTTGCAAGATTTCCTAATTAGCTTATGTAAATTTTACCGCCTTCGGGTAGAAATCTGTTATTCTACAAAGTTTATACGTAATATGCAGATTATCTAGGTAATATGCAGATTATCTAGGTAATATGCAGATTATCTAGAAAATATGCAGATTAACTAAGGTGATCCGTTAAAGTGCCGAAAATATCTTGGTAAGTTGCTCGCTAACTACTAAGCACTCGTTAGAGTG